AACTTGTCATTTGATGAAATTAATACTTGCAATACTTCAGTCAAATATTTTAAAATTGCTCTAGAGCTTGTCCTCTCCTATAGCTCAACGGTGCAGGCTTTGCTTCGCGTGTGGGAGACCGGAGTTCGAATCCTGCAGGCAAGGAGTTTCTTCAACTCTATTTCTCACGAGGTATGTGTATGGTACTCTGAAAATTTATTCCTGCTACATGTCTGATATTGTTACTTGTACTATCATGGTGGATTATATACACAGTCCTTAGAATGATGATTGTGTGGAACTATGTCAGTAAATACATACGCATCGCATCAGAAACTAAATTTAAAATTTTTATCGACTTCATTTTAAAAGTGGCCATCGGTGGCTCATCAATGTGCCACTGGTGCCAATGGGTAGTTATTGGCGGAAGAAGAGCTCTACGTTTAGGGGGGCCATATCAGCAGGTTATAGGTGTGGTAAAGGTGGTGCACGCCACCCTTAAAGGGTAGTTATTTGCGGAAGAAGAGCTTTACGGGTAGGGGGGCCATAGGCAGGTTATAAGTGTGGTAAAGGTGGTGCACGCCACCCTTAATTCACTATATAAATCATAGCTGCTCCACCTATGGCGTCCGCCTATAGCCATCTTAAAAACATAGGTGCTCCACTCTTAATTTTTAATTGGGGAGTAACTCTCTGAGTAACTCTATTACAGGATATTTTCCAGGGTATAACATTTTATTCTCCTCTAAAAGGAAATTTTTTGTATCACTGTGTGTGGTGTTCAAAATACCGAACAAATTCACACACTCCTTTTCTCTTATTTTGTAACGGATTTCCAAGTCCATATTTCATTAGGTTATAGCCTTGCACAAAGAAAGGACACGAAGCGAGTCTTGGAAAACTAATCGCTGTTGCCGAATGCGCATCCGGGCGCGACGGGAGTGGCTTGCAGACAAATAATTATTTGTTGTTAGTTAACATCTGGAGTTATATTGGCAAGAGATGATTGCGCACGCCTCAAGTCGCACGATTTTAAAATATTCAGAATGGATCCAAATGTTCAGACTGGACCTGGAACGCGCCCTGAACTGACTCAAATGATCTGTTGTTTTGTTGAAACAACGTCATGCGTTATTATTCAGGTGCATCTTGTTGCATCGTAAATGCACTGTGCTGAGAGATTAATGTAAAAATATAATTAGAAACATCATGCATTTATTCGTCTCTGAGCAGGCAGCCATTTACATGCTGGCGGAGAAGTGCGTGTTCCTGTTCGTCTGCCGCGTTCACGCTTCCCGCGAAGGCCTTCGTGGCGTGGAGTGCGTAATAGACAAACAACTCTTCCTCCTCCGTTCCTTTAGTTTCATGTGTCCAAAAATCCTCAAATTCGAGAAGATTTTTAGAATTTCATTGTCAAATGCTCTCATAATTGGCTTAAACGATTTCGTTGTCGTTCTCAGGTTACTGAAGACGTCCAACGTATTCTACTTCCAATTTACACTTGACGTCCATAGAAGTCTAGAACGTACAGGAGTCTTGAATTTCTTGATGATGACATCCAAAACGTATTACGAGAGAAGAATAAGGATTTAACTTTGCCAAAAATCGAACTTTACAAACTTTATCTCCCTCTTATATGTCTCTCCGGCTATTTATCTCTAAGACTTTCCGTCAAGCAGTCATGAAAACAAATCAAGATAAATTTCAGAAGTGTGTTTCCGCATTTTTGTCCTGAAACAAAGTGGGGTGAAAGGCAACAGTTTGAAAGTTACTGCAAGTGCTGACCGTCACTTGCGAAATTGCTAACTCTAATAACACAGTTAGTTTTGTTTTTAACACCGTCTGAACTGGCGTTTGGATTGCTGAATTGGCGTTTGGATGGCTGCCATAAGGCTGAAAATCTCTAGGCTGAAACCTCGATTTTGTGAAATTCGTAAGGTGCAGTTAAACACGTCAAAAGAGATCATACCGTTGGAAAAGAATTTATATTTAAACATAATGAAGCATTGTGTTCAATTAAGGCTCAGCTCTAAATTGGATGAATGATTTTGGTTTTCAAGTTTACCTTGACATTCTTTGCTGTTGATTTTGAACAGATTTATAATGCAACACTTCTAACATGTATGGCTTTAATCCTCTACCGCCTGACATGAGTAACAGGAGCAATATTGTCACGCGCCTACTTCCCAAAAAAGATACGTTGTAGTGAGCGCAAAATGACTTGCACTGATGGTTTCCGCCACGTACGACAACTTTAAAATGTTCTCTGTTGCGTATATACAACACAAACGTCCTCATAGCAGGTTGCTATACTCAATATTTTGCATATAATTTCATTTGAAAAATATGTTCCCCGAGAGTGACATGCGGCGGTAGTTGGCTAAGTAGTTTCATGTTATTCTTTAAAAGTAATATCAGAAATTGTTAAAAATTTTGTTTGTGTTACATGTTGTTGCAACATATTGTTATCGTTTGTGTTCCGTGTTTATACGAAATACAATTATTGTTTGTGTGCTAATGACATATTGTTATCGTTTGTGTTTTGTGTGGTTATGATGTATTGTTATCGTCTGTGTTTGGTGTGGTAATGATGTATTGGCATCGTTTTTTTTATGTGGTAATGACGTATTGTTATCGTTTGTGTTTTGTGGGGTTATGACGTATTGTTATTGTTTGTGTTATGTGTGGTTTAGATGTATTGTTAGCGTCTGTGTTTTGTGTGGTTATGACGTAGCGTTATCGTTTGTATTTTGAGTGATTATGACGTATTGTTATCGTTTGTGTTATGTGTGGTTATGACGTATTGTTATCGTCTGTGTTTTGAGTGGTAATAACGTATTGTCATCGTTTGTATTATGTGTGGTTATCGCGTATTGTTATCGTTTATGTTGTGTGGTTATGACGTATTGATATCATTTGTGTTATGTGTGGTTATGAATTATTGTTATGTTTCGTGCATGAAATTTTCAGTGGCCATCGTGGCGGTTGTTTAGCGGATGCTATCGGATCTGCCCTCGGCAGATCCGATATCATCAACACGCTGTGTTGATGATATCTTAAGAACAGAAGCGATGATATCTTGAGAACATCTTTGCTGCAGCATTGCGATCAATTTGAATGTTATGATGTTGATGATGATTGTTGAAAAGGAGTAACGATCTATTACTTACATTCATTGCAAGTAATCTGTTACATCTGTTATGTAAATTATGCTGATTGGCTAAGTTAGGTGTAAAATAAACCGCAGACTTTTAGTAGCTGATGAGAACATTAGCTCGTAAATTCAAGAAGAAGGCTTATCTCATACATTTAAATGTTCTGAAGAACTCTAGATAATTTTCAATCATCAACTATACCAGGCTATTCCCCGAGGACAGTAGCTGGTTAGTGATTATATAGAGTGTATTAGTGCGTAGTGAATCATTGAACAAATGCATAGACTTATTTTGTCACTTGATTTTCAGGTCTATATATCTTTAGGTAGGATGTCGAAGTCCGTGATAAGGACACGAAGCAACTATTTTTTAGTAATAATTTCGAGATGACTAACCGCTGTTGACGACGACTGCACATCCGGCGCGATAGATGGTGTAAGTATAGATAGATTGTATAAGTTGTTGTATAAGAAAGCTTGAGATATTTGTAATGATTATTTGGTAGGTGAATCCATTCAAATAAATTAAATAGAAGGAGATTAATATTATGAGTTGAAATCGAAAACTTATTCAGTTATTCTCCGGCTTTTGTACAAGAGAGATAATGTAATTGTATTAGAATTTGTACATTAGTTTTCAATCCATTTAGCAACATCTAACGATGTGGAGTTTAAAAATAAATTGTCCATGTTTCCTAAAGAATTTAAGAAAGGAATAATTTTCTTTCGCAACCTTGAAGTTTTGGGAAGAACACTCGAAGATATCCGATGCGACAACCCTCGTGTATTCTGTTACTAATTTCCGCTACTAAATTACTTATATTCATCTGCATGATTTTTCTACATTCATTCAATATTCAGATAAGCCTGGTCAATTAAATGCTCTAATTATTTTAATAATTGCATGATTAAATGAATCCTTTAAATTTATCCTGTGAGTTTATCTTACTTGACTAATTTTAATCTTTAAACGACGTTAATTGGCTTTTGGTATCGTTAGCGGACCCAACACTGAAGGTAATCTTTAGGATATAATTGAGCAATTTAATTTGTGAATTTAATATTTCTAAACATTTCCGCACAACTATAGTATCGCATATTTCGGTAACCATTATTAAGTGTGCTTTAGTTTGCAATTAACAGAACACCTGGGCGACGCGATATTATTTTCTGCGCGAACAACATTCAAGCGTTGCAGCAGTCCATGCTGATGTTCTTAACACCGATGGAAGACAGGGGCCATATATATACTTTCAAAATTCGCTAAGTGAACGTACGTAGTTACGCTCTTTTTGCTTGTCTCTGATTGGTGGATTTTGCTTGAAAGGCCGTCAATGATTGGCTGATGAACTTACGATCTCTTAACTTTTTTTGAAAGTATAGGCCCAGGACCGGCCAGCTGAAGCTTTATCCATTATATACCTTGATACTTTAGAGCAGGAACAAAGCTGCTCTAAAAGAACCGTTGAATTAACCTCATTTAGAAGACCATAGCGTACAGAACAAGTTCAAGAAATATATTGGAACAACGCTCAATGCTGTAAACTTGTCTCTTATTATCATTCCTAATAAATTTTGATAAATATTTAGCGCTTGCAGCACGGTTTTTTGTTGTTAACTTAATTATTGCTTCTTCTAAGCCCAGGTTTTGGTTGCCATTTGATAATTAAATCGAAAAAATTTCAGCTCACGCGCAGAGTCGCGTTTTTTTAAATATTCAGAATGTATCAACTTGTTCAATTGTTTAGCTGTCTCCTATAACATTCATCATATTGAAGCAATATTAGGTATAATAATTTTCCCTGCACATCGTATTGCATTTCAAATCATTAGAGACATCGCAAATCATAAGTCATTTACTCGTCCCTTAGCAGGCAACCTCTAAGACGCTGGGCGGAGAAGCGCGCTGGCTTCGTAGCTGTTCGTCTGCCGCGTCGACGCGCCCCCCGATGGCCTGCGTGTCGTCGCGCTCGCAAGAAACGGACAGCTTTTCCTCCTCTGCTCCACCAGTTCCACTTGTCAAAAATCCTCAGGTTCTAGTAGATTGACAGAAATTCCTTGCTACCTATTGTCATACTCGGCGTTATCGATATCGCTGTCGCGCTCGCAAGAAACGGACAGCCTTTCCTCCTCTGCTCCACCAGTTCCACTTGTCAAAAATCCGCAGGTTCTAGTAGGTTGACATAACTTCCTTGATACCTATTGTCATAGTCGGCGTTATCAATATCGCTGTCGCTCTCGCCACTCAGAGAAATGAGTGTGACTTTGGATGCACTTTCTGTCCTTTCTGCTTGGCTGGCCAGCTTCTAATAGTACCAGTATCAGCTTCTTTAGCTATTATTTTTGATACAAGTTGAATGTTTCCCAATACTACCACGCCATTTTTTTGTATTTCCCTGGCGAGGCGAAATCCAGATTCCGTTCAGGAGCAGCGGAGGCTCGTCATAGCCGCCTTAGAGGCAAATCAGACGCCAATCGGCCGCCTAATCAAATTCGGCTATTAATTGGGAGCCGTTTTCGGGAGCCACATGCCCTAGGAGCCGAATCTGCATTAGGCAGCCGCAATAAGCGGCTAGTGCACGTTTATGGAACTATAGAGTATGAGGGACTTGCAGTAAGCACGGACTTATTGCCAGAGCTGGGCAGCGCTACTCAACTGGGCAGCGCTACCGCTACATGCTCTAAATGTAGCGGACGCTACCGCTACCGCTACATTGCTTTAAATGTAGTGCCGCTACCGCTACTGAAAACGTAGCGGCCGCTAGTAGCGGCCGGTACATGTAGCGCGCTACTGCCCACCTCTGGTAACAACTAACATGTTGACACTATAGTAACAGGCTGAGGTTGACAACATTACACCGAAATCTTTCGTACCGTTTTATTCTGTAATTTATATTATGCGTGTATAATGCTGGTTTTTAAATAATATTTAAAACTATTAAGTAAAATCTAAAGGCTTTATCTATAAATGTAGCGGTAGCGCTGTAGCGGCAAAACCTCGTATCGCTACTTAAATATGTAGCGGGTGCCACCGCTTCCGCTACATTGCCTTAAATGTAGCGCCGCTACCGCTACTGAAAATGTAGCGGCCGCTATATGTAGCGCGCTACTGCCGACCTTTGCCTCTATTGTAGTATATAGGTGCCTCTATTGTAATATATAGGAGCCTCAATTGTAATATATAGGTGCCGCTATTGTAATATATAGGTGCCTCTATTGAATAGAGGCACCTACATATTACAAAGCATTCAACACTATAGTTGAACAATACCTCGGGGTAGCATCAGTCTAATAAGTCACAGCGCGTCTGCACGAAAGCAATGATATGATCCCAGTGCTGAATATGCATGTTTTGTTTATTCAATGTCAAAGATTTCTTCTACGACTTTCGTAAATCTAGAACACAGCGACTGAGTGATGTATCCAAGAGGTTGTCATGAAATAGACTTTTTGTTGAGCTATTGAATTTTTTAAATACACATTGTTTCCATTTTTTAATTAAACTGAGACAATGTCGGCAATGAACCTAGGAAAAATTGTACTTGTCCCTTCAAGAATTGATTATCAGGAGTGTACCACAGAAATGTAAGTAATCATCAAGTTATTATGCGAACTAAATATTCGCCATAAGGACTTGAACCGTTAAAGGATGAGAACTAATATACTGAAACGAAAGTCAGAGTTATTAAGAAATGTACTGGACCGCGTCATCCGACTGAGTATACTCAACGTGTTACATGTGCGAAATAATAATTGTTCAGTAGGTTTCATGCATTTATAAATGGGGAACAACACTGAATATAAATTCTACGCTTTAACTCAATGTTGCACCGGCGGACTTTAGTCAATTGAAATTTACTAGGATAAATGTCAATTAATCGCTACAAAAATTCTTGAGTGCCTCCAAACTCTTTGGTGTGTGTGCGATCTTCTTCCCTAAGTTCCTTATTCATAGATTGCATCTCAATAGTTTTAGTGCAAGGCAAGTGTATGATTCAAGTGTGGACGTGTCGACCCTTCATCGTCCAGGTATGATAAATATTAAAGTGTGGTTGACTCCTTGATTAATCTTGAAAATTTTGGTGTCTAAAGTAATTCAATTGTGTACGTGTATTGCTTCTAAGAAGTTTCTAAGCACGCCATTATACATTCGAAGTAATATTGTTTCGCATGGATAATGATCTTCTGGTATGTCGTACATAACTTTTAGTTTACATTTCATCCGTAATCAGCTACAAAACCAACCTTTTGTCGTGATTCGCATGACATTCATTCAAACTTTGTCCTAATTTCCTCAGAGTTTTACGTTTGTTCATTTGAAATAATCAGGTTTTACTGTTGTTGATTTTACGTGTAATTTCAGAACACCGTTATCCCGTCATCCCACATCCCGTGCATCCCAATCAAATTAATAGTTTTGCAAACAAAGTTTGTAGGTTGAAGCATTACCGTTGAGGCCTATACATTTCTTGGAATTTCAAATTTTATATCAGAAGAAAATATTTCGAGATATTATCGGGATTTGCACTTAACAATTGGCAATTAAATCTAATTAAAAATTTGCTATTACCATTATTCTGATCGCGTACTGCAGTTATCTTCGATTTCCTCATTAGAAATACAATATTACTACAAATTGGGTCTCGCCCCACTGAGGGCCCGGCGATGTTGTTGCTAGCATCGCTATAATAAGTAAGCAAATGACGACGAATGTATTATGCGCTCGGTTAGTGACAGCAGGCCAAGCAAAGCGAGTTGCTGTGATACATTAACGTAAACCGCCACTCTAAATCTGCTAATTAAACTTACGTACGAGTTGGTAAAGACTCTTATGAGTAATCAATCCATTGTTATAATAACATGAGGAATAAATGGGTAATGACTACATTTGACACGGAAAATCAAATATATAAGAAATTCTTCAAGTTATTCAGTAGAGGTGTGGTTTTGTCATTTGCCTTACTTTCATACGCGCGAAATTATTCATCAATCGAAGGGCTTTGCTTTCCATGGACTGTCCGGTATACAGATTTCCGTTTTTTTGTCTCTTTTAAATTTTGCTTTTCTCTATTAATGGTACTTTTATTCTTCAAATTTTTGTGCTGGTCTCCGGAACGTACGTTTCCGATGCAGATATCATACGGGGAATTTACTTGGCGATTTCTTTCCTGTTAAATTCTTCATCATCTCAAGTTGATATACGTTCAGATTTAGTTAAACACTTGTTTCGTACACGTTTAAAAGTGATGTATTATATTCAGAACGCAGATGCAATTCTCTTATGGTGATTAATTTGTCAACAATTGTTCACGAATTATGTTCTCTTAAATGATAAAACATAAAAAAGAATTGACCCTGAATTAATGCTAAACCTCTGAAAACCAAATATTGCCGTGATAGATACCGTGATCATAATACCTTGATTATAATACACATCCGAGATATAGATTACGGATGTTACCCCTAAAATCATAAATTTTCTTTCGGAATTCCTCCACTTTCGGAATTTCCACTTTCCACTCAACATCGTTGCTGTTTTAGCGTAAAAAAGGTTTCCAACTGTACAAGCTCGAACGTGAGACGGAAACAATGTATTGTCACGGAAAGTGACAAACTTCAGTGTAAGCCTATGAAAACTCGATGAAAGATTTTTGTAATCATTACTGTTTAGAAAAATATTTATTGCGGCCAAATAAGCAAGGACATCGGGTAACATAGGGCAGCGGGCACCCCCTTTTTTAAACTAGACTTTTGATAACGTTTTAATTGATACGAGGTGATTCTTTGTTTTATTCAAAGGTACAACTTAAGAGGAATGTATGATGTGAATTAGACGCCTATAGATATTCAATTTTTAATGAAACATTATTTTGTAAAAAGTGTCAAAATGGGCCCATTGCCCAGCCCTGGGTCAATGGGCCCATGGGCTTGGGGCAAGGCGTCCACCCTTGGTCCTTTTACCACAATTGCATATTTTTCGTTTAAAAATGATAAAACAACACTTTACAGTTAAAAATAAGAAAAATGTAATAAAAAATATTCATTTATTAACAATTTAAACAATCATATCCTTAACTTGAAAAAATATAACAACACTCCCTCTGTACCCCAACACTCCCTCTGTACCCCAACACTCCCTCTGTACCCCAACACTCCCTCTGTACCCCAACACTCCCTCTGTACTACAATACTCGCTCTGTACCACAAAACTCCCTCCGTAACCCTACACTACCTCTAAGCTACAACCACGGGGCATGACTCACTTTAAGTCCAGGTAGCGGGCGCTGGTGCGGTTTACTCCTCGGACGATCACGGCCCGCAGCTCCTGCGGTCGCGTGGTCGTCAGGAGATGCAAGTCCTCCAGGCCTGATCAGTCAGAGTCGGTATTATAAAATTTTACAGCCATGCTATCTATGTATGCGTTAATTATAGCTACATTTTTGAAAAGTGAATCGTAAAGTTCATATTCAGAGGTTTCGCTCAAATCGAATATCTTAAGACTCCAATATGGGCGGAAATTTAAATAATGAAAAATCGCAATTTGATCGCCCATACAAAAATTTCCCCTCATCGAATTACACAATAAAAGTTCTTAAACGTGAGCGCAGTGTTACCCAGCCAGTATTCGCCACTGGGACTGCCGAATCCTTCTTCGTATTCCTTGAAGGTTCGACTGAAGTTGAGTTGAGGCTCTTGCTTCTGGCGCCGCAGGAAGACCGTCCAGCCGCCGCCGTTCGTCGTCTGGTCGCAGTAAACTTGGACGGCAGCGCCGCTGGGGTAGATGGTGTACACGCCCGATGTCTTCTCCGGCCGCTCCGAACAATCCGCGGGAGTGAACGGCACCTGGAAAGTGGATAATTGAGACAATCTTTTAGTTGAATTTCAGGAGTTGGATTTTAATAATTTGATACACTCTTTTCGATCGACCTGATATGAAAAAGCCATTATGTACAAAGTTAATTCGAAAATGGAGTAAAATTGAAAATATTTGGCCTCTTGTACAATTAGCGTTGGGGGAGGTTTTACAACCTCTAAATTCAAAGATACAATTGAAATTTTTTGATTGAATATTTCAAACGAGAGCATTCAAATGACATTCATATATTTCTCCTTTTATTTATATTTATCTACCGTCGTCTGTTGAGGTGTGATGGTGCTGGACTGAGAGATAAGTGGCGGCTCAGAAGAAAGTGGCGGCTCCGAAGTAAGAGGCAGATCAGAAGAAAGTGGCAGCTCAGAAGAAAGTGGCGGCTCCGAAGTAAGTGGCGGCTCAGAAGAAAGTGGCAGCTCAGAAGAAAGTGGCGGCTCCGAAGTAAGTGGCGGCTCAGCAGAAAGTGGCAGCTCAGATAATGAATAACTAGCATTATTTCTTAGTTAGTTTCAATGAGTTTTATTTTAACATTTTGATCAACCCTTTTCGGTTGCTCACTCTGGTAATGTAATTGCGTCCGAATTGAATTCCAAAACCGAGTGAATTAAGATTTTTTTGGCTGTTCGTACAAATAGTATATAAGCATATTCTCATAGTATATATAGTGGGTATGTATACTGTAAGAATATATATATATTAGGTCTATTCTAAAAAAACATTAATTGACCAATACATTTGTGCCGAGAACCATCGACGTCTAAGTCAATCCTACTTGTCAGCTTTCATGGAATTTCAGTGCCGCCTCTATAACAGATGACAACCATATTGTCCGTAGTATCGCAATTTTGTTCCGTTAAAGACAGGTCGTGGACTGACAGGTGAGATTTACGACGTTTGTTTCCCCCTCAAACTTTCCACAGCGCCTAGTCAATATACGGAATTTTCACTCCACGTATGAGCATGCTCGTTCATAACTAGTTTTTGGTAGGCAATATCTACAACTAAGAGGCTGAACGAGAAATGCCGAGCATTCAGTGGAAAATAAAAATTACAACCCATCGACATTTCGAAGAAAGTGTAAAAGTCGCAAACATGGTGAACATTAATAGTCAAAGTTTCTTGAAATTACCTTCATCATAACTCTTTTAATACAAAGTTTACATATTTTTTGTAACTGTCCGCCGTTTGTAAATAATTAGCTGGGTAAGCATGGAAAAATTCATTTCGCCATCTCATTTACGAGAGTAAGGTCCAGCCTAATTGGTGAGTAAACTCATAGGGAAGAGCAGAGCCTGTTCAAACGCTCGCGGTTCTCAATCAGAGCCTTAAGGAGAAGCGATAATATCTTTAGGACATCTTTGATGCAGCATTGCGACCTACTTGATTGTTATGATCCTTGATGATTGTTTCGAAAGAAGTAACGATGCATTATTTGCATTCATTGCATGCCGCTGATATAAGTTTGTTATGTGAAATAGGCTTAATGGGTAGAAAAATAAAGTACTAAATCAACCTCAGACTGTTGATTAATGACGAGCTCGTTCTAGCCAACTGGTACAATTATGTTATTGCAAGCTCAAGTAAGAAGAAGTGCTTACCTCATCAAGTTGAAGGTTGTGAGTAACTCTCGATAATCTATAATAAGTAACTATAAAAGGCTATTTCTTCAAGGCATAGCATTTTATTCTCCTCTTAGAGGAAATTTTGGCATTAGTGCTTAGTGTTTAAATTATTGAACAAGCGCATTGACTTCTTTTCTCTTATTCTGAACTGAAGTTTCAAGTCCATATTTTATTAGTTGTGTAGCCAGAAACCGAGATATGTACATGTAGACGCTATTTATAAGTTAAGATCCCCATAGAAAACTAATCGCTGTTGAATGCACATTTGGACGTGATAGAAAGCGAGTGTTTACAAGTGCTAACATGTCTTCAGAAAACTTGCCGACAAATTGTCTCTAATTAGTTAACATAAGGGTTTTTCTTAATAAATGTTTCATTGGCATGATACAATGAAACCGAAAAAACTTGTGTACGCTTCAAGCCGTAAGATTTTAAAATATTAAGAATGGATCCAAATGTTCAGCTATGCTTCCAAAGCTCACCCTGAACTGACTTCTATGATACATCATAATTTTTAAACAACGTCGTATACAATTACTCCTGCGCATCTTACTTCTTAGATAATACACTATGCTGAGATATTAATATAAAAATCATTAGTATTATTAGTCATTCAGAAGAAGGCAGCCTCTAACAAGCTGGGCAGAGAAACACGCGGCGCTTCTGTTCCTCCGTCGCGTCCACGCATCCCCCGATGGCCTGCGTCGTCGCGTTTGTATGAAACAAGCAATTAACGTTCCCTCCTTCATTTCCATTATATTTTTAATTAAAAAGCCCTAAGTTATATGAGATTAGAAGACGTTCCTGATACCGCTTTTTCCTCGAGGTTACCGCAGACGTCCAGCTTCTTAGACGTTTAACGCAGTCGAGAACGTTGGAGGTCTCGAATAGCTTGACGATGGCGTCCAAAACGTATTACGTGCAAGGAAAATGGATGTAACAATGCCAACTAATTTTACTAGCTCTTATCTCCCTCTTATGTCTCTCCGACCATATACATCTCCGGCTTTCCGTCAACCAGTCTTGAACAAAGTGGACCTTGAAGTCAAGATAAAATTTCATGAGTATGTTGCTACATTTTTGTCCTGAAACAAAGTGGGGCCAAAGGCAGCAGATTGTTTTGCTAACTTTAAAGTAACCTTTAATAACACCGTCATTTCATCAATTAGTTAACTAATTTTTCTCCAATCGTATGTTGTGGATCAATTCTTGAACACAAGGTCAATCCAATCTCATGGTCAATTCAACACAATAGAAACCTACCAGACTCTCAAACTGACCACTGGTTCAGTTGTGTGTTGCTAACTTAGTTTGTTGATAGGAAGAGGAACTCGAAAAAATTTATAATAACCTAATATTCCACTAATAACATTATAATAACCTAATATTCTCCTAAAAACATTATAATAACCTAATATTCTCCTAAAAACATTATAATAACCTAATATTCTCCTAATATTATAATGACCTAATATTAAACTAGCATAATATATACGGTCGTAATGAGTGAGATTTAAAAGTGGAATGGAAGAGTGACTGTAGAAGACGGCAAAAAAGGCAGAACAAATTTATTAAGAGATCATAAGTGGGTCAAGAGGAGAGAAGCAAGGGCTGTACGAATAAAGTGGGTCAAAAGGAGAGAAGCAAGGGCTGTACGAATAAAGTGGGTCAAGAAGAAAGAAGCAAGAGCTGTACGAATAAAGGGAATGCAAGACGGAAGGCAATTAAACTGGCGAAAGAAGTTCTGCAGGGTTGACGTGAATACCATTCGTTTTGGAAAGGAAATATCTTCAAACGTCACCTGGTCGATTTTCCAATTTCGTTATAGTTCGGATTTTATTTTGCAAAAATTGGGGGAGGGCAACGCCAAGTGGCGTTTTTAGATATGGTTTTACGCATCGAATGATATGTGTCTCGATGTCGTAGCTTGAAAATCCTAGGAGGAGATAGGATTTCTAAAGTACCCCTTTTTGGCCGTTTTCTAAGAATTTCACGTTTTCCTTCATTTTTTTCGAAAAATGCACACGAAAAAAAAAGACTTAGAATTCCGTTTTACATACGTGTACCAAATTTCGAATCGATCCGTCTGTAAATAACCGAGAAGAAGTTGTCCTTAGACGCTCCCCCTTAAAATAGCATTTATTGGCTCGCTGTCTGGGGCCATGATTGCTGCGGCGTATTGGGCTGTCCATCATAGTGATGCAGGCATGCGCATGTGGTGAGTGGTGCTGGCATGCGGGTGGAATGAATGTGGTGAGTGGTGCAGGCATGCGGGTGTAGTGAGTAGTAAAGGCACGCGAGTGTGGAGCGTGTGATAAGCTTGGTGAGTGATGCGTGGTTGCCCATGTGGTGTGATATGCAGCGAATGTGATTGCGGTGAGTATGGTGAGTGATGTAGAGATGTAGTAGTGATAAATGTTGCGCAAAATCCCTCACAACATAACTTCTGCGGTGCATTTTCCCATACCCGCAGGATCTTTTAACCCCATATCCCCAACATAGCCCCAGAGCTTCGGCCTGCAGCGGCCCGTATGCACCGGCATCTGGTTAAAACCACCACCAGTTTCTTGATCCGAAAAGCATAATTCCTGCCAGTAACAAGCGTGAAACAAGAAACTCGAGGATCCTTGATCATTAATAAAATGTCAAGGGCAGCCCACGCAAATGCGGGGCCGGTGGGGAGCGACTGCATCGCTCACGGGTGGGGAGCGAGCGTGGCCGTCGGTGATTTGCATGTGTTTCTTTGGTCTTGAAAACGGGATTCCGTCCTTAACGATGGACGATGTTAGCCCCAGTAGCATATATGGTTCTATCCCTAGTATGGCCGACGATAAGGCAGTCGGCGATAAAACAGCCATGGTTTTCAATAGTGCAAAAGGCTTCTGGTCCGCTTGGCCGCAGCCGCCGACAGCCCCAGAAGGAAGAACGAGTGCCCCGCTCCCACAAAGCAGCTCCGCCCACAGCGAGTACATCGACGGCGAAATAAGTCGTCGACATCGCGTTTCAGAGCATCTCTTGAAGCGCGGCTTTTGCTGGGTCTTTGGCGGGTCTATGGTGGGTCTTTGTCGGGTCTTTGCTTGGTCTATGTATATGTATGGTCATACGGGGTATTTTTTGGTCTATATGGTGGGTCTTTGTCGAGTGTTTGCTTGGTCTTTGTATGGTCAATGCTGGGTCTTTGTTGGGTTTATGTTGGGTCGTTGCAGGACCCTTTTGGGAGTTCGATGGGTCTTTGGCGGGTCTATTTATGGTCTTTGCTGGGTTCTTTCTGAGTATAAGCTTGAACTATGCTGAGTATTTGCTGGTCTTTTCTGGGTCATTGCAGGGCCTAAGGTAGGTCAGGCTGCAAGGCAGGGCAAGAAGGCTTTAGATTTGCACGCATAGCTGCCCCACAAGGCGCCCCCTCCTCAAGTTCTTATTCTCTTAGGCGTTCTCGGATGCCTTGAAATTAGCTTCTAAAGGCAATGAGATCCTCAATTTTGGGACGTGCGGTGGTATTGCTGGGGAGGGCGAGGCTTTTGAGACCACTGAGCTTGGGGAGTGAGGTGTCTTCAGGGCGGGGATTGCGAAGTAAAACGTTACCAATCAGGTGCCTGTAGGCATGGGTGCAGTAAAGCAGATAAACCGTCCTAACATCGTTCGGTCTCACCACTCTTTGAATCACGATCACGATCGATGGTCGAGAACTGCCTGCCGTCGTGGTAGGTGAGGGCATCGAAGGCAGAGCTGCTCACGTTGTCGTAGCCGCCGACCCTCAGTGTGTACTCATCACCGCCTTCCACTCTGATGGAACAGGGTACACGCATAATACCCTATGAAGAACATTGATCTGGACAGCTTAACGATTTTTCCGTATAAAGCCAATATATGATATATTTAAAATCAGCGTTAGATGTATATCTCAGATTCAAGCGGATATAAAAAAATTAATTCATTAAAGATTTGAGCGAAATTTACCAATGACAAAATTCCCTGTGTACCCAACCTTCCCTGTGTACCCAACCTTACCTGTTTACCCCAATATTCCCTGTGTACCACAACACTCCCTCTGTACCCCAACACTCCCTCTGTACCCCTACACTCCCTCTAAGCTACCACCACGGGGCATGACTCACTTGAAGTCCAGGTAGCGGCCGCTGGCGCGGTTTACTCCTCGGACGATCACGGCCCTCATCTCCATCGTCTTCGTGGTCGTCAGGCGATGCAAGTTCTCCAGGCCTTATCAGTCGGAATCGGTATTATAGAATTTGACAGCTATGTTATCTATGTAAGCATTAATAACATCTACATTTCTGGAAACGAGAATCTTAAGGTTCATATTCAGAGCCGGTTTCTATAAAATGGAATATCTTAAAACTTTCCAATAAGAGAGAAAATATACACACTAAAAAATCGCATTTGATTGTGCATACAAAAAAATTCCCCAAATCGAATTACAAAATAAACGTTAGTAAACGTGAGCCCAGTGTTACCCAGCCAGTATTCGCCACTGGGACTGCCGAAGCCTTCTTTGTAATCCTTGAAGGTTCGACTGAAGTTGAGTTGAGGCTCCTGCTTCTGGCGCCGCAGGAAGACCGTCCAGCCGCCGCCGTCCGTCGTCTGGTCGCAGTAAACTTGGACGGCAGTGGGGTAGATTGTGTCCACGCCGCCAGGGTAGATGATGTACACGCCCGATGTCTCCTCCGGCCGCTCTGAACAATCCGCGAGAGTGAGCGGCATCTGGAAAGTGGATAATTGTGACAAACTTTTAGTTGAATTTCAAGATTTGAATTTCAATATTTCGATAAACTCTTTTCGATCGATCGGTCAGGAAAAAATAATTGAGTACGAAGTTGACAAGAAAACCGAGTGATCCTGAAATATATGACCGCTTGTACAATTGATAATGGGGGAGGATTTTACGACCTATAAATTCATTTGTCTGACGGTACAAATAGTAGGTATTTTCTCATACTAGAGAGTGGGTATGTATACTATAAGAATATATATAGTAGTTATATTCTAAAGACAAAAAGACATTAATTAACCAATGCACTTGTGCCAAGAACCATCGACTCGGTGCTTTAGCGGCGTATAGGCCTGTCTTACTTGTCAGCTTTCAGGAATGTAAGAGCCGCCTCTGACAGATGACTTATCTTGTCCGTTGTATCGCAATTTGGTTCCGGTAAAGCCCTCTCCAAAATCAACGTAAGCTACGATCAGTTCATGAGCCCTCTAATCATGTACTTATAATTTAGTATATTGCTGTACGCTTCAATATTACTTTGAAATTGTTATTTGAAGTTTTGTCAAAATCTTGTTGAACTAGTCTATTTTTCGCCATTGTACTAGGATTTCTTGTTCTGTTGGCATGTCCACGGATTGATTAAGTAAATTCCACCCGCTAGGAACGCTGCACGCTTTTTATCCACAGCCAAAGTTTACATTTTCGCCACAGCGGCACTTATATTCGCCACAGCGGCATCAATTAGCCTCATTAAGTTTGTGTTGTTTACATGATGAGGAAGTAACGCTGCCGCAGACGCTCCCCACCCTTCCCAGGCACTCGAGGGGAGGTGATTGATGATGACAGACGTGAAGGAAGAGGGCAAGGATATGTGAAGGCAGATGATAAAACAGACGTGGCAGAAGGTGAAGCAGTTACAGAGCACAAGCATTGCTGTGTAATTGCGGTAAGAAGAACATGGCGAGAAGATGTTACAGGAAGCGAGGCACGGCACCAAAGAAGCTATGTACAGCTGAGGGTTTAGTCGGTTGTGCGCTGCACAGGTTCTCTAAACGTGTTTACTTCCTCCTAAAGTAAGTAAATGTTCTGCTGGTCATAATGGAATCTGACTAGATTCACACAGAAGAGATTGAAACTTATATTCGCCAAAAGAAAAAGATATATAAAAAATTAGTATCTATCATGGGTTTGGTTGAGATCCAAGTTCATTTGCAGTAGTTAACCGTTAATTACCCAATTAAAAACGATTGAACCCACAGTAACTTAGGTCAAATACATTAACAGTCCCAAGGTCAATACAATTTTAAGGTCAATCCAATCTCAAGTCAATAGTACTCAAGGTCAATTCAACACTATAGGAACCCAGCTGACTCTCAAACTGACCACTGGGTCGGTGTGTGTGTGTTTGCCAACTTAATTTGTTGATAGGAAGAGGAACTCGAAATTACATTTTAATAAACTAATATTCACCTAATAACATTACAATATCCTGATATTCTCCTAATAACATTATAATAACCTAATATTCTCTTAATAACATAATAATAACCTAATATTCTCCTAATAACATTATAATGACCTAATATTCTCCTAATATTCGAGTAAGGTTGTGCGTTGCTCGCTCTCGTACTCTTCATTCCACTAAAAACTGCCAGTTATGGCTAATGATTCCGAAAGTGAGACGAGTTCCACTTGCGCTGTGGCATTTGTTGGTGTTGGCAGTGTCTCTATGAGGGAAGATCTAGATAAAGTGAGTAAGATGCTGTCTTTTCTGAAGAACTTCAGCCCTGAAAAGAAGAAAGCGGGTCGACCGGCAAAATCTGCCAATGTTGCCACTCCAAATGCCCAGATTGATAAGGTAATAGAAGTCATTGACGCTATCTATTCTCTAAATGTTAGAATGTTGAGCAGCATTGATAATCTAGTCGCTATGAACACTAAACTTAAATGCGACCTCGACCATCTCCTTGAAAAGCAGGCTTCCTTGCCGAGCTACTCTGAAGTGGTTTCGCGCGGCTTTTCTTCACCTGATGTGTCTGTTACTGGGCGCCGCTCTGCTGCTATCCTTGGTAATATTTCACGTATGCCAAGTAATGCTGATGTAAATTTTGTTGGCCCGAGCATGCTGCGCCTTGAAAAACTCCTGGACTCCGTTGAGCAGGACTCGCTTGTGAAAGTAATGGCTTGCCAAGGTAGTGCTGTCCTGCCAATCATCGAATCTTCGTCCGTCTTCACTGCTGGGAACAATGTTGATGCAGTTAAAAACCACGAGCGTCTCAAGCAGAAGTTTGTAGACAAGATGAACGAGTACGATAACGGAGTTCTTCGAGCCGCTGACATCGAGGCCGTGGACGTCATAGGGAAGGAAAACAAACATTTACGGGTGACCTTTGCCTCAAAGGAACCTAGAAACCATACTCTGGTGGCTGTGAAGAGGAAAAAAACCTGAAAATTTATTTGCAAATGAATACTTGACTAAATTGCGTGCTGCTCTCCTCTTCAAGCTCAGAACTCTTAAAAAAAGGTAACAATTCTATCGAGAGAGTGTACGCGTGGCAAGGTCAAGTTTGTGCTAAGACTAAGTCGAGTGTTAAGGTTTCCTACATCAACTCTGAGTGTGACCTGACCAAATTTGAAGAATCGCTGGCAGATTCTCATGCCTGGTACTTTTTAAACATTCTTATTGTCTTTATATTCACTATGATGGCTGAATTTACTTATCCCACTCTGTCTCTAAGTGATGATCTTGTCGCTGATATTCATGTTGTGAATTGTGAAATCCTTGACTGTGATACTTTTTTTACAGCGATCAAGTAACTTTAACCACGAATCTTTTTCACTTGTTTGTTTTAATATTAGGAGTATTCGTAAAAATTTTGACCAATTCATGGTTTTTTTTTAGCTCAGTGAATTTTAAATTTACTATCATTTTACTAACGGAAACCTGGCTAAGTCCAAACTCAGACCAAACTCAGTTTGGTTTTTCCAAATATAGTATTTATCGCAACTGTCATGGGGGAGGTATAATTGCTTACGTGGATGAAAAGTTCAACGCGAGGGTTAATAATGATTTTTCTTGGGTGAAAAATGAGTATGAACTCTTTGCAGTTTATGTGTCCGCTTACCTGCGCTTGAGCTATCTTTTGCGTCTATAGACCACCTTCCAACAGCATTCGAACCTTCAATGCACTGTTCTCAGTCGAGGTTCTTCCGGAAATAAAGGGAACTAATAAAACAATTCTTTGTGGGGACTTCAATATAAATCTGTACAACCCTCTTAATTTATCCTCGACCAATTTTTTTATACATGAAATTCTTTGTAGCAATTTTTATCCAGTTATAACCAAACAAACCAGAATCTCTCCTCAAAACCCCATTACCCCGTTCTCGTTACTTGACCATATCTGGTGTAACTTTTCTTTTGGATCCAATCCCCATTCAGCCGGTGTGGACTGCTACTTGTCTGATCACTTGATGACGTTCTTTCGCTTTGAAACAAGATTTCTGTTTGTTTCACTTCTGAGGAAATTTCGCGTGATTAATGATGAAAATATTCATAAGTTCAAGGAAAACATGAGACTTTCCATCGGCATTTCTTTCAAATATTAACGAACCTAACTCAGCAATGCACTCCTTTATATCGGAACTTTCAAAAATTTATAATGAATCATTTCCCACAAAGTTTGTACCAGTAAAAAACATAAGCCTCCTTGGGTGACGGCTGAAATTAAGTCTGCTATCAGGAAGAAACATAAGCTTCTGAAGCTCTCCCGCTCTGGTGTAATTCTTCGTCGATCATATGCCACTTATCGAAATGTCCCAAATGCGTTAATCAAGATGGTCAAGAAGCAATTCTACGCAGCAAAAATCGAGCAGGCGTCGATAGACTCAAAGGTTCTTTGGAAAATTGTCAACAACTTGCTTGTAAAAAATGTTGTTAATAAAAGAAATGAATTGGTAAAAAATAATGAGATAATTTCCGGTACCGATGCAGCAACTGAATTTAACAATTATTTCATCTCTGTTGCTAACGATATCACAAAAAACTTAGGTCCGGTGAACGATAGATTGATGAATGAAATTCCCTCCTGTGAGGCATCCTGCTTCCTTTTTCCTTCTTCTGAATTTGAGATAAAGCAAATTTTACGACTGTGCAAGGGCAAAAAACTTCAGGTCGATGAATTTCAGCCAATAATATTGTATCTTAATTGTAGCTGACACTGTAGCGCCAGTCTTAGCACATATTTTTAACCTCTGTATGTCCACAAGAGTGTATCCTAATTCACTGAAACGAGCTCGAGTTATACCTATTTTCTAATCGGGTGACCCTTACAAAGTCTCTAATTACCGTCCTATATAGAGTAGAGACCTACAGAAGCTTTTGATTGTGTGAATCACCGAATTCTTTTAGGGAAGCTACACCGTTATGGTATTAGAGGGACCTTCCTCTCACTTATTCAGTCTTACCTCTCGAATAGAGAACAGTTCGTCGCGTTAAACGAGTTCAATTCACCCATAAAACCAACCAATATAGGTGTGCCACAAGGCTCTGTACTGGGACCTATTTTCTTTACTATTTTTATTAATGAAACTGCTTCATCTCTTAACGTGAACTGTAAACTTCTTGCCGACGACGCAGTGTTTTATGTCTCGAGAAGTTCCTTCGACGAAGTGTGCGATAACATATCGGAACTGACTGTGCATTTGTCGAGATGGCATTTAGATAACAAGCTATTAGCTCACACTGACAAGACTAAGTTGATGCTTTTTACTCCAGGACCCGTTCCCGTCCTGCGTGACATAACCTTCAATGGCACAATTTTACAATGGGTCGACGAATTTAGATATCTTGGTTTAATCCTCGACAACAAGATTTCCTTCAATAAGCATATGTCGGTTCCTGATGCATTACTTATTGTAGTCATGGAATTTGAGAGTTAATTCATCGGTAAACTCGACGACTGCGTGATCGTGTAATTAATTGATGAAGAGT